CAATTCTCTAATTGGACATAAAAATGTCTGTCTCTTATACACATCTAGATGTGTATAAGAGACAGCTCCTGTCCAGAATTGTTTTGTCACACCTGAAAACTGCTATCCGCCAGACCTTGAAGAAGTCCAAGTGTTCTCTACAAAGAAAATCAAAGACTGGTTTGAAGAAAATGACAAGGAGTTCCAAGATGTGCAGGGGAAAAGGATATCCGCCCACAACAGATACACCTTACTCAGCCTATGAAAAAAAAAACCGGAACATTTTTTTATCCATCTGTATTTGTCACATTTAGTTTAGCTTGTGGTGCTACACTTTAGCTTGTGGTAGCGGTGGTGTAATTTCTCCTACAAAGTATAGGTGGAAAGTTTGGGAACGGCCACTTGCTTGAGTGTTCACACCCACCTCGGCCTCAAGTTTAGTGTCACCGGAATATGCAATATAAAACAGCTGTTGATAACCAAGATAATGACAATCGGTGAACCTAGAGCCCCCTTTTTAGAGGCCATTTTTCGTTTTGAATTTATACTGTATTTTCAACATAAAATGTTATCGAGTAGTTTATATATGGTCTACTGAATTCCAGGATCGGAAAGCATAGGCATTACAATCAAGATTATGGTGGTCAGGGCTTACAGCCATTTTATTACCAAAAACCTGGTTTTGTCGGCCATTTTGGAATTTGAAAGTATAGTTTATTTTTATAATAAGGATATTATTGTAGTTAAGTTTGAAAGCCAAATGAGAAAAAACCCATAAAACAGCAAACGGCCATATAATGCAAAACAATTTAAAATTAAAACCAACAGTAGAGAAAAACCGATCAGAATGACAAAATAAACTAAGCATCCACTGGAAGGAATCCCAATATCTGCAGACGGATCCGTTTCGGCCTTCCAGGCCTCATCAGTGCAGCTAAGGTACAAACCCAAACGAAACGTTCGACCAGCTTAGGTAGGGCCCAAACTAGTCCCACGACCACTAATGATTACAAAGCCAAACCAAGGCAATATATATACACAGCCCAGGTGTGAATGCAAATAGTGGAATTCAAGCTATGCAGCTCGGTTCCAGTAGATACAGAGAATATTTTGTCATTCTTAACGCGTCTACAAAATTCTTACGAGACAGCACTAGTCCGTGAATTTGTGAACAAGATCGGAGATCTAAAGATGCAATCGCTACCGGAGATCAATATATATTGATATATACTTGAAGGTGGTATGTCTGCTACGTCATTAACATCAGTTGTTCCTAACCTCGAGTTTTGTTTCTATCATTTAACTAATTCTAACATTTAACTAATTATAATTTAAATATATATATATATCTGTCTCTTATACACATCTAGATGTGTATAAGAGACAGTATATCCCCTATATTTATATATAATATTACTTCATATGATCAATTGGATTGCTTGATCTAAAGCATTGCTGTGGACACTTTAGGTCACGGTAGTTAGGACACTCGCAGTCATTTAATACTAGAAATGTGTAAAATGTGTTTTGGCAACCATTTTGAATATTTATTTTGCATTTTTGCAACAAAGATGTATGTTCTATTAGATTCCTTAAACGAAACAACATAGGTTTTGACACCAAGATTGTGGTAATATGATACTTAGAGCCTTCAAACTGCCAAAATTTTGTTTTTTGGTGGCCATTTTGAATATTTTATGAAATTTTGCATTTTCACGATAAAGATGTACGTTATTGTATTTTACTATTGTTTTACTGGATTCCTTGAACTAAAGAACATATGTATTGACACCAAGGTCATGTCAATGTGGACACTTAGAGCATTTAAACTACAAAAGTTGTGTTTTTTGGCGGCCATTTTGATTTTTCCAATTTTCGGTGTGAACGGTTGGCGTGACATCGTGGTTCCCGAAGTTTTTGGAATCGGCATACTCAAAAACCTTCTAGGAAAAAGTTTCATGCTTCTTTCCAGAAGTGCACGTCTTGACCAAAAAATCTCACATATCCGCCCCACTACTACTTCCATGCCACTACAGAAAAATTTCCTTTTGTTATTTAAATATCATCACCTTAGCCCCAACCATGGTGGAGCAGAGGGAGGTTGTGGTACTGGGGTATGGTGCTGTATCTAAATCCTCTATCTGCCGTTAGAGAAGAAAAGGTAGTGGCCCTACATGCTGCCAGATGCTATTTCCAAAAAAATTGCTCATTTTAGTTATAGACTAATTTTTACAAAATTTCGTCTTGGAGTTCTATAAATTGTAGTAGTAAATATTATGTAAACTATTTTCTTTTCCCTTGAAGATGAGTTTGTACAAATTTTGAAAAAAAATGATTCCTTCCTATTTTTATACTCATCCTTCTCAAATTAAGTTTTTATCTTTAATGACAACTGACATATTATTATTATTAGAAAATATATATTAAAATATTATTAGCTATATTAAAAACAAGGATTTTAATTAACTGATTTGCGCACTTTTGAATGTTTATTTGTTTATAACTCAGTCCGTGAGCCTATATATGTGTTAATCAATGCCCTAGATATCTAGTTTAAGAGAACAAAGTAAAATCGGGTTTTCAGCCTTAAAAATGTCTGAGGCTGGAGCCTTCGCATTTAATTTCTATTGTGCTTTTGGGCAAGGCTTGTTCAGGTTCTCTCTTTCCACCTACTTCTAATAGTACAAGTGGGTGCAGGGTGTCCCAAAAGTCTCGACACCGTCTCAAAGTTCATTGTCTCTGGTACCTGGTAGGTCCAAACTCCACCGCCATTATTATTGCTGAAATGTTATAGTATGTTTTGTAAGCAAAATCTTACTCGAGTTCTTCTCATAATGAATGTTTAATGTTAGTCCTTCTGTTAGCTAAAGTTGTCTTCGTTTTTCATATTAAAACACTAAAAATACTTAATTGCGCACTATTTCTTTAATAGCGACTGCAACACCAAAAATGACCACTACGTCACCTTTGAACTCAACAAGCCATGCGCGAACCACAGGTGAGCAATTTATTAGGATTTATTTAAATATAATAATCATAAACATTAATTAAGGATTTGACAGAGAACAATATGAAAATAACATTAAACTTACACAGCACATCCAACAGTGATTATACAGTATATTTACCAAGGGTGGCTCTAGAGTGACAGAGGACCAGGGAACCTGTCGTGACGGGGAGAGCCGCTCCCCCTTCGAGTGAAAAAAAAAATATTAATAGACTAAAATCGACTAATTAAGCATTCAAAAACCCCCCAAAATTCACTTCACTAAAACGGGTGTTTATTGTGTAGTTGTTACATGCTAAATATTTGAAGAAGTTTTGATATATTATGGGAAAGATTGCATGCCCCATCATATTACCAACTCCTTCAACCTGAAAAACCAGGACCCCAAAAACCAATCCTAACAGGAGACGTTATGGCACCAGAGGGCGTTGTTGGCACACAATGCTCAAAACCATGGGTGCTACCCTGGCGAAGTTAAGTTTACAACATCTTGTAAACCTCACAGTAAAGTTTACAGTTATAATAAGCAAACCAGAAGAAATTTAAAGCAATAGTTTGTCTACCTTAATAAAATTTAACTTTTAGGAAGTAAATCTACTCTTATCGTCAGTGGTGCTGTCGGGGCTCTTGCTTTAAGTATTGTCATCCTGGTCGTCATCATTATCTTGCTGTGTAAAAAGCAAAAGAGGTAGGCGTAAATTTCAGTATGTTCATCTCTTTCTATAGAATTATGTAAAATCACATAAAATAGCAATAACAATAGCAATAACAATAGTAATAACAATTACAATAATATAACAATAATATTAATAATGATGATGGTGATGATAATACATAATAGTAACAGTATAATAATAGTAATAATATTAGTGAAAGTGATGATGGTAATGATAATGGTTGGAGATTTATATAGCGCATAATACATGCTTGGTATCTATGATGATAATGGAGATCACCATGATGATGACAATTATGGTGATGATAACGGTGGTAATGGTATTTCATATTTATGTCAATTTAAATAAGAATTAAAATAAATTAAAATATTGGACGAGGACTTATCACGCTACAAAAGCAACACACTGAGAGAGTTCATTATTCAGATTACGTTAGTAAAGTACAGTTGAAGGAACACAGTAACATTCAGTATAGGTAGGTGTAAGCAAAGAGTATAGATAGAGTAAGAACGAGCAGCAAGTCCAGATTCGTGTAATCAACCGAATTGCATGATGGCAGGTCAGTGGATTAGGGCGCCGCGTATCGGCTGTGTGTATAAATTCAAGTAAAAAAGGAACATTACAGTGTATTTGTTAGGTGTAAACTAGATCTAATTACTACCGGTAATAGATAGAGATCTACTAAAAGGCCTAGACATGCCGAGACGAGGCTACTTTTGTTAGTTAAACTAGGCCTTGATTTATAAATCATTATTATTATTAGATTTTATTGAGTATTATTATTATTAATATTATTATTGTTTACTTATTATTATTTTTATTATTATTATTATTATTATTATCATCAATATAATTGTTATTGTTATAGGCATAGTAATAGAAATTGTATTCAACATTTTCAATCCTGGTTAGGATCAATACCGTGTTGTAGTTCCACATTTACAGTGAATTTAAGGGCCGTTTATTTGAGTATTTTTATTCATTTTACGCTAATAAATGAGTTGGTATGCCTGCAGAAGGGGAGGTTTGGGTGGGGTGACCCCTCCCAATGAGATATTTTTTTTAACAGGGACCTATGGATGGCCGGAAATGGCACTATAAAGAAAAACTCAATGGGCGTAGGTACACCCCAATAGGTGTACCCTGTCTCTTATACACATCTAGATGTGTATAAGAGACAGCAGTCNNAGCTGGAATGCCTGCAGAGGGGGAGGTTTGGGTGGGGTGAACCCCTCCACATGAGATATGTAACTTCCATTACATTTAGAAAAATAATTTGCAAAAAATGTCAGAGTGCCATTTCCGAGCGTCTACTTGTGACTATTTTTAAAATGTTCTCACCTCACCTAGAAAGCCAATTATATATTGGGAATGTGGCAACGAACGTGTTAAATCAGATTTTAGCCAAATACGCTATTTTGAAAGCCATAAATATAATTGCATACCCGACTGTCGTGTATCTTAATTACCACAATCTTAGTTAAGTCCACGGCAGTCGTGTATTGGATTGGATTTATTCGGGGAAAACACCAAGGATAGCCCACGAAAATCTAGAAGACTTATTTCCAGTGGGGTCCTTCTGGTGGTGATTGGGCAGTACACCGGGAGACAATCCCCTACTCTTTTCCGAAGAGTGTACTGCGTTCACGTGCGCCATTTTGCACACGGGACTAATGGCTTAAACGTCTCATCCGAAAGACGGTGCGCTATTATAACTTGTATTTCAGCCCTCCAGCTGAAATACAAGGAGAGGCAGCGATTGGGAATTGAACCGGGGACCTAGAGATCTCCACGATTCTGCGCACACACAGTGGCTACCACCAGTTTTGCCGACTGAGCTAAGCTGTTCTATCTATAATCCACTATTTAATGCGTAGCATCGGTAGCATAATTTTAGTCCAGCCAATGGCATAATTTCATTTGACACGGTGGCCACACTGTGTATGGGAGGTGTCACCGGCTCTAATGATTAAGTGTAATTGAAATCGGCCCAATCGTTTGGCATTAGTAGGTTTTAAAACATAAGTATAATTTGCTCAGTCGGCTAATCTGGTGGTAGCCACTGTATGTGCGCTGAACCGTGGAGATATCTAGGTCCCCGGTTCATTTCCCTTCGCTGCCTCTCCTTGTGTTTCAGCTGATAGCTGAAATAGAAGTTACAATAGCGCACTGTCTTTTGGGTGAGACGTTTAGTCCGTTGGTCCCATGTGCGCGTTAAAGAACGCAGTACACTCTTCGGAAAAGAGTAAGGGATTGTCTCCCGGTGTCAGGGGCGGCGCAGTGGGGTCTAGGTTGGGGGTGGGGGCAAAGGACCCCCGTCGGGGACCTCTGGACCCCTCTTGGATACCCCTGTCGGGAAATTTCCGGGCAAGGTCGTCGGGGAAAAATGAAATCTCGACCGCCGAAAGTACAATTTAGGTTTGCCTGGCTAAGATGTCAAATTTTAGGGATTAAAAACTGTTTACTGCGAGCAGTGCTACTGTATGTGCGAGGTATTGTATACTATCGTGATTGTATTGGTTGCGGTGGTTGCGCCAGATCTTCTCCGACCTAGGGCTGGTACCTCCGACAGATGGTTAGTACCCCCTACAGGGGGCATTTTACCTTGTTTTCTATCAAATTATCCTTTTTAAATAAATAATACCATAATCAACAGAATTTTCCCCGACCATAGGGTGGGGGGGGGACTCTTGTCGGGGAGCTTAAACTCCCTTGCCGGGGAGCTGGACCTCTCGTCGGGGATTTCCTGGATGAAAATTGTTCTCGATTTTATGCAATTTTTACGACATCTGTTTAAGCTTTTTATCAATTTCATAAAATGTTCGTGATTTGTTGATTTTGGCAGAATAAATAAATGAATAAGTGAATTTTAAAAATAATTAATGAGGCCTATACCGGTACGTATTTTTGCAGGAGGCTACAACAATCTGGAGATACACATGGCTTTACCAACAACGACAACCGATATGCAAGACATTTACTTCGAGTCAGTTGGCAGGGCGATAATATTTATGATGTACCTAATAATATTGACGAACCACCGAAATACGAATCGTCTATTGGAGCTTATGGAGTAAATCATCCAATCGGAGGGGGCCCATACATTGCCACTAAGCTGGACCATCAATTTGACACTCTGAATACTGTTGCTTTGTATTCAAAATCCGAACCAGTGCCTCACGTCGCCCTCGGTACTTTGTCCGTGCGACATGACTACCTTTGTACACAATACACTCCTGAAGACCCGAACGGATATCTTGAGTTCCGTGAGAGTTAATTAGTCGGCTGTTCCTTCAAGCGTTTTCTAGAGTGAGCTCCTTAAACTAGAAATTGTCTCGTTTACGACTTGGGCCTATTGCCTGACATTAAAATGCTTTGATATAGCGCCGGCGGTTTATAACTGACCATAGAACAGTAGCCTATCCAGGCTGGCGGTGCATTAGTACCCTCCTTCATAGGTTGAAAAAAATCTAAATGTCTATTTTTGAATGTTTACAAATATTTTTAGTATTAATGTACCATTTCCGGTATCTAGAAATCCCCAATTCTAATTATTTTCCCACCTCATCCTCAACCATGATGAGGCTCAGGGGATTTTCCGACATCTAAAAGTCTCAATAATGTTTTCACCTGAGCCCCAACCGGGGCTTAGGTTGATATATATATATATATACTGTCTCTTATACACAT